GGATTCGCTTACCCTACAGTACCCACATTGGCAGCAGGCGGGCGTATCCAGTACTAGGCTTGCGAGGTGGAGGAGTGTATTCCACCGGCAAGCGGGGCAGGGAGACAGGGTATCCCACTCTGGGTGTATAGCCGGCGCAGGGCTTGGGAGGTGGTCTACCCCACACTGGGGTGGCGCTGTTTATATACTGCAGTAGGGCTGGAGGGGGTAGGGAGTTGGTTTATCCCACATTAGGGTGGTGGGCCTGTGCATCCAGGGCGCGCTTCTGCGCTGGGCTAGGCTAAGGAAGCGGTGCATCCCTCCCTGTGTGTCATCTTGCACGGGGTGTTGTAAGGGTATATCTTTCTCGCGGAGCTGGAAGGGGACATGTCCCAAACCGGATCATTCCAGTTGCAGCAAACGGAGGGCAATGACCCTACTACGCAATGAATCCGATCTAACAGCCAAAGAGAGAGTGGGCGGGTGGAGGGTGTGTGTATGCGAAAGAGACCTCAAGAGATCGAGGACTTAAGACAAAGTGAAGAAGGGTCAGGTCAGCGCACTGGCCTGGGCTTTGGGAGAGGCCTGCTCCGCTCCAGGCTCCCGCTGTGTGAGTTCGGGCAAGACAGTCGCTCGGTGACGCAGAGGCTGTAAGGGCCAATTCACCGTCGCCTGCGAGCCGCACCCGAGCAGGCTCCCAAAAGCCTCTTGGGTGTAACGCACACGGCCTGCCCGAGGCAGATGTTCCAGCCTCTGATTCCCGGCTCTCTGGATTCCGGCCCGTTCTGTTCATACACGACGCACGCGTGGGGCAGAGGGACTAAGTCTCCGCAGGAGACGCTCCCATAGCGGCGGAGAGACGGAAAACAACAAACATGGCGGCTCCTCAGCTCTGCCCCCTACGAAGGGAGCGGGGCCCCACCGTCTCTTCACCAAACTAACATGGCGGGGGTCTCAGCTACGTACCCAAGAACCAGGGCAGCGACCCCAGCTCGCTCTGTAGCACTTGTGGCGGCTCCCCTTTTCTCCCCCTCCCCCATAAAGTTGGCGGTCATACTTTCGCCCCCGCCCCCATGCCCGGCACAATCATGGCAGCGCCCCACTTACCTTCCGCCCGGAACCATGGCGGCTCGTTTTCCTTTGCTCCCAAACAAACATGGCGGTGCCGGCGCGCGCTGCTCTCCACACGGGAGCCCGGACGTAATTTCCGTTTCCCGTTGGAGGAAGCGGCGGCAAGCGGGACGGGAAGATGGAGCTGAAGAGTCTGGTCGGCGTGGGGCTTACGGCTTCCCGGTTTGTGGCCTTGTGGGACGCTCAGATTCCTGCTATTGTAAACCGGGCGCACCGCCAGGCGGGCTCCTGGGTCTGACCGCTGAGGCCGGGCCGTCCGGGAGGGGTTGTCGTGGGTTTAGCTAGGGGGGAGGGCCCCGGTCTCATGTCCAGGGGTGGGTTCTGCTGTGGTAAGAAATTGCTCTTGTCCTTTTAGGGTGGAGCTGGGGGATTGGTAGCAGAATGTCGCACTCGTTGAAGATGTTGCCCTGCAAGAAGAGAAGAGCTGTTGCTGTGGAGCCCCAGAGTCCTTCCGTCGACTTGAGCTATCACAAGGAGGGTGCAGCTCTCCTCTCAGATGCAGAGTCTGTTAAACTGGAGTCTTCTAATGCTAGTCACGCTGAGGAGCTCAGAGACTCTGTATCAAAGCACTGGCTAGTGAGCAAAATCACAGATACTCAGCCTGTGTCAGCTGCCGACAAGCCTGGTGCACAACCTGCATGTTCTGCAAGCACTACTGTCACACTGGATGAGGATTTGCCCTTTTTGGAAGCCACTGATGGTGGAGCCTTTAAGGGAAACGTAATCCCAGGAAAAGGGACCTCCGAGGCATGTAGCCAAAGGGCTTGGAAAGAACCAGTGGACAATTTCCTGAGGAGTGGGAAAAGAATCACAGTGAAGCATAGATCAGATCTCAGTCAGGACAGTGGTGAAGGTCAACAGAACACAAAAGAAACTGCGTCCGCAACTGAATTTCTTGAGCAGGGTAAGGATCAAGAATTCACTGCAGAAGGTAAATTAATTTGATATGGCTTGCTTGCTGCTGTCATTATTTACACAGCAGCATAAGCACACGAGGTATTTTACAAACAAAAAGGGATTAGGTCTCTGCTTCATAGAATGTTGGGTCTGATTTTCAGCCCTGCTGAAATATAAACTCTTGAATTTAAGCTGTTGTTACAGGCGTGTGGTGGTCCACATGCTTTGTGAGTTCTTGGAGTGGTGGTGTTTGTCAGGAAGAAGACTATAATTTAGCTCTTAGAGCCACTTTCTTGTTTTGTCCAGGCAGAAAATCTTCAGAAGAAAGACCAAAAAAACAAAGAATTAGAAAATCAGAGAGAATAAGATATTATTTAATAAAATTGAAAGGACAACACATTTAAAATATGAAAGGAAATAACTGTTTCACACAACATTTAATCCAGGGAATTCATTGACATTAGATATTATTGCGGTCCAGAGTTTATGGGGATAAGAACATCCAGAGTTATATTCGGTACAATAAACAGTTTCTTTTAGAAGGGATATAAACAATGGTGCTTTAGGCATAAGCCAGCCATCTACTGAGGGATTAGGAAGAAACTGCTTGTTTGGGCAGGTTATTCCATTACAGGAGTTCTTGCATCTGCTTCTGAAACATGGGTATCTGCCATTGTTGGAGACAGGATACTGGACTAGAGCAAGCATTACTTTATTCTAATAGGTTTCAGAGTAGCAGCCGTGTTAGTCTGTATCTGCAAAAAGAAAAGGAGTACTTGTGGCACCTTAGAGACGAACAAATTTATTTGAGCATAAGCTTTTGTGAGCTACAGCTCACTTCATCGGATGCATAGAATGGAACATATAGTAAGAAGAGACACACACGCACACAGAGAGAGAAGGTGGAAGTTGTCATACAAACTGTAAGAGGCTATAACCTGCTGAGTTATTACACATATTTAATCTATTTCCCTATGTTAAGTATCCTCACACCTTCTTGTCAACTCCCTAAATGGGACATCTTGATTATCACTACAAAAGTTTTTTTTTTCTCCTCCTGATAATAGCTCATCCTAATTAATTAGCCTCTTACAGTTTGTATGGCAACTTCCACCTTCTGTGTGTGTGTGTATCTATCTGTCTATCTGCCTTTTCTTACTATATGTTCCATCCTATGCATCCGATGAAGTGGGCTGTAGCCCACGAAAGCTTAGGCTCTAATAAATTTGTTAGTCTCCAAGGTGCCACAAGTACTCCTGTTCTTTTTGCGATACAGACTAACACGGCTGCTACTCTAAACCTATCTTGCACCAGTAAGTTTCATAGGTAATGTACAGTGTAAAATATTTTGTATTGTTTAAGTTTGTCCTTAAAACAAATATCTGCATCTTGAAAGTGCTGTCTAAATATTAGCTAAATAGAGAGACAAGGTGGGTGAGGTAATATTTTTTAGTGGACAAACTTCTGCTGGTGGAGAGACAAGCTTGTCTCTCTAATATCCTGGGACCGACATGGTTACAACTACACTGCTTACTAGCTAAGTAATCATCCTTGCATTACTTTTAAAGATTTGGCTAGATATGTGTAAAAACTGATCAAAGTGTAACCAAACGTCCTTTCAGACATTTCATGCTATTGGTGGTCTGTGCGTAAATTGTCAGCCTATATTTTCATTCTCAGAATAGCATTCTTTCACACAGGTGAAAGGTTAGGTCCATCTTGTTAGAGCTTGTAATGGGAAGCCACCACAATCTCTAGCAATACCCTCCCTAGGCTGTAATGCAAGTTTATAACTTTATACAGATTTATTACAGCACTTGGGTTTTGTGACATCAAGTGGCAGGAGAAACCTTAGCACCACAGTGCATCATAGGATGCATAAAGAAACTATGATATAAGCAAAATGCTAATTTGTCAGCTTGTTCACACCATCATTTTTTCCTGACACTATATGATTTATTATAAATTTGTTAGTCTCTAAGGTGCCACAAGTACTCCTTTTCTTTATATGACCTATGTATTTAAAGGAGTTTTTGTGATTTCTAATATATCTGAACGCTTGTGATTGAAATCCAGGAGGTAGCAAAAGCACTTATTACTTGTTCAACTTATATGGTAGGTTTCAGAGTAACAGCCGTGTTAGTCTGTATTCGCAAAAAGAAAAGGAGTACTTGTGGCACCTTAGAGACTAACCAATTTATTTGAGCATGAGCTTTCGTGAGCTACAGCTCACTTCATCAGATGCATACCGTGGAAACTGCAGCAGACTTTATATATACACAGAGAATATGAAATATTATATAAAGTCTGCTGCAGTTTCCACGGTATGCATCTGATGAAGTGAGCTGTAGCTCACGAAAGCTCATGCTCAAATAAATTGGTTAGTCTCTAAGGTGCCACAAGTACTCCTTTTCTTTTAACTTATATGGTGTCTGCTTTTTTGAATGACTGGTAGAAGTGATGAGGCAGCATCAGAAGCCTAGGTGATCCATTTTTCTGAAGTTCACAAGCTTTGAATAGTGAATGCATGAGACCTGTATTGTTGTAGGGTTTATGGAATCCCTACTGTATTTGGATCATAGGTTTGTGCAAAAGAGGAAAAGCTAACTGGGGAGAATCCCTGTGAACAAAATGACCCTAATATATACTGTTTGCAGGGAAATCTCCTAAATTGCATACAGAGGTAGAAGTAATTTTGCAGAGACACCCCCATCCAGCTGACAACCACTCGCCAAAACAAGTGGCCCAAGTGAGAAGTTCCTTGCTGCTGCCAATTAAAGCTCCTGCCACGATCAAGTCACTAAAAAACACCAAAATTGGGGAGCAGCTGCAGCAGACTGATGAGGAAACTGAGGACGTTGGGCTGTTTATTCCACTGGGTAAGTGTCATGCAGGAGGAGAACCTGTGACATGGTGTTACAAATTACACCTTGTAGGACACGCACAGTTCGAATCTAGGCTGAGGCACAGAAACAAAGTCCACAACTGCAGAGTTCCCAAAAGACACTAAGTTTATTACGCTCGAGCGTGGAGCCCCCCTGCTAGCCATGGGGGGACCCTAATACAAATTATACAAAGGTTACATACTTTTTAGCAAAGCATGTTGCCCTCGTGCATCGGAAACCTTAGCCAATAAACGAACCCTTGTCTTATCTACCACCTATCCCTGCTTGGTGCATTCCTCGTGCTATACCAGTATGTTAATTACACAGCATGGTCCTAAAGCCATGCATCAGTAACCTTTATTATCAGGATGAGAGGCCTCACATCAAGGCCAAGAGACAGGGAGTTAGAGACTGACAAAAACTGGGAGTCAAGGCAGGCTGGAGACAAGGAGGAGGATTTTCACAGGGATTCAGTATCTCAGGATCACTCCTCCTGGTGTATGATGTGCTGGCATTTAAACAATGGTGGGCCCCAAACCAAAATGGAGTCACATGTGCTAACTTTTCCTTAACACATGGTGACACAGTACAACTAGAAATTCTCTGGAAAGGAAGCACAAAACTGGTGTAGGAATCCAGCCTTTGGGTTCAGCAATTTTGAATGATATATTAAACTTCTGTACTGTAATTCAGTAACTGACTAAGCCTCAGGTGCCCAGTGAGGAGCATGTTCTGAAACAAACTGGAGTTGATCCCTGTGGTGGTCTGTCACTTATTGCCCAAACACTGGCATCCTAAGAGAAGAGCTTGGATGCTGCTCTTCTCTTCTCCTGAGTCAGCAATACACTTAGGCTTGATAAGTTTTCTAACCCACTGGTCCTATTGGGATCCAGGATTTTTCTGATTTGCAGCCTGACTGCATGGTTGCTTCATGGCAACTCCTTCAGGAGGAGGGAAGGTGGCTAGTATGGCAGCTCTGTAAAGTCACTAGAGCATAGATGTCTAATACCTAGCTTAATGTATATGTGGACTCTGATTAGTTCAGATTCTTCCATATCTTAGTCTTCCATTTGAAAAATGTGTTCCTAGCTCTCGTGGATGTGAAGGATCAGTTCACTCTTGTCTGCCTGAGTCCGCTGTGGATTGCGGGTTGTATGTGGTTATAAATTTATGTTGCAGCCCACATACTGTCACTAAGATGGAATCCATCTTTCTCCCGAAGAGTGAGTTTGACGCCTCCTGACCCCCCGCACTAGTTATAACCTGCATAGGAGCCGGTCAAAACACCAGTGTTTTAGTGACTCATGGTTCCTATTCATGATCAGTAGGTGGAAAGCAGATGAGACCTGTTAATGTCTGCTGCATTCTAGCTTTTGAAGAGTCCCACTGTCTGAGTGGGAGGTTGTCTTGTATTTTGAAACTGAATTGTTTATTGGTAATCTGCAGAGGAGCAAGATGGAGATGAAAGTGAGAGGAGGAAGAAGAGGAGGAAGGCAACCAAACGTAAACGTGAAGAGAGAGGCCAAGAAGAGGAGGCGTCCTTGGCTTGTGACATCAAACTAGATGACATGCTTGATCGCACCTTAGAAGATGGAGCGAAACAGCACAACTTGACCGTCGTCAATGTGCGAAATATCCTCCATGTGAGTGGGGTGAAGTGGAGATGTATGTCAGTACTAAGAAAAGGAATAGACTCTGAGTATCTTACTGGCAAAGTGCTGGCTAGGCTGAGGTTAGCCTATAGGTTTGTGCAGGATTTTATAAACGGGGTAAGCATAGTAATGATTCACAGACTAGTCTGTCTCCTGTGATGGACTGTAAAACGAGAGCTATCTATTGTTATAGGTGGAATTGATCCAGAACTGGGTCACTTACATTGTCACTCGCAGATGTTAATCTTTTACTTCCTGTAGCATGATCTTTTGCAACTGGTTGTACCACACCTGAGAAGCCCAGGACAAAGGCACAAGCTATTAAGATGGGATGAGAGGACATAGACTAGAAATGTACAAACCTCATATTTTCTGAGAGGACTGGGTTTCTTGGTAAAGGACTTCAGGAATTCTGGTGGGACTGTTAATGGAAATGCAGTGTACATAGTGACAAAGGCCCCCTCCTGTTTTTTTATATTTTTATCCTATCACTCAATTTCCACATGGGAATGAATTGTAGTGGAGAGAAAATCCACATCTGCTTAGCGACCTAGTTCAAAACTTGAGCCAGCTAATTCTGTAGTGAAGCACTTGTCAGATTCCAGTCATCCCTGAACTGAGCCTAGGGAACACCAATGCTGTTTTCAAAATAATAAATTATGCTATTTATTTTAAGCTTTTTCTTTGCATTCTAATAATGTTCCAGGCCTGATGGTCACAGGAATTTGTTCTTTGTCCATTCCCTCTATAGTGACAAATGACTGCCACTGCTTCTGTTTCAGGCATATTCACGTCATTACTATGTAAATGTCAGAATGCAATAAGTTTACCTTCATCTACAGCCTGGCGCTGATGGGGTCATTTCCTTCCCAGAGCGCCCCATGCTGGCAATCTAGTTACAATATTTGGATTCAGGAGCCAGAGTCTCTGAACTAGTCTTATCTCCTCAACTTTTACTTTCTATAAGCTCTCTTTGTTTTTCAGTTTTGTTTTTTGTGTATCTCTTCTCTAGTAATCATTGTGCTCTGAAATGTAGCATTAAACTTGCCCTGGAGCAGGAGTACAGTGGAATAGATATCATATTCTCAGTCTCACTTGTGTGACTGTATGTTTTAAGATGCAAATTCTCCAGTGCTGCCCCACAGTAGCTTTTTCTCATGTTCTTACAACCACCAAATTACGGGATTTTACATTAAGTGAGAAGAACAGAGCTGATGAAACTGATGTGTGTATAGACTGCGCTGTGTTCTCTCCTAATAGCATTGAGAAAGTTTGATAGGTTCATTCTGCAGAATCGTTGCATGTAATGCATGACCTGTACTTTATCATCAGAGGAGCACTTAATATTTTCTTGTCCTCTTTCCACCTCCTACCACATTTCCAAGATTATTTTGAGCTGAGGTCAGACTCTTTCACAACAAAAATAAAAAAGGAGACTTGAAGCCAATTTTTATGTTCCTGCAGGAAGTGATCACAAATGAGCATGTGGTTGCCATGATGAAAGCAGCCATCAGTGAGACAGAAGACATGCCCATGTTTGTGAGTAAAAAGCTTCTCCCTCTCCTTCCCCCCCGCCCCATTGCTATCTATCCATATGCATGGTTCCTTCAGACGCTGCTCTGACTGATGAATCTTGCTAACGTTCGGATGTGGGGAGAGAATAGGCTAACAGTAGGATCATGGGAGAACTTGTATTGCAATATGTATAGACCGCTTGAGACAATAACTGCTCTGTTGGAACCTAACTGCTAAAAAGAATCATCATGTATAAGGTTTAGCGCACAGATGTCATGCCCACCATGTCAGAGAGGTGATGTTGTTAGCAACAAGAAACAAAGAAATTTTCCGTAAAGAGAGACTGGTGAAAAATGTATATTTAAGAGCGTGCTTTCTTTTTAACTCTTTTAGGAGCCAAAAATGACTCGCTCTAAACTGAAGGAAGTTGTGGAGAAAGGAGTGGTGAGTATGTCATTTGCTTTTTTTTTTTCCCATTGGTTTGGGAAAGGACAGAAGATGCTTTTCTGGCCTCTAGAGGCAATAGGAACTGTAGACTGAGGATGCTTTCTGTGAACTATTCATAAGCTTAAAAGACGTTACAAGGTGAAGTGTATGCATGTGTCCATATTTGTAGTGATCTTAAATAAGGAAAATAGGGATTCCTTAGAGATTAACAGAAATGTACCAGATCAAAGTTGGAGAGAGTTATGTGGGTAAAGTGCACACAGTGAACTGAGAGTATCTAATATAGGAGAGAGTTGTTGCCTGATGCACAAATCTGAGCGGCTTTGAAAGCATGTGTTTTAAAGTCTGATGTTACTTGGGTAATTTGGGAAATAGGATCACAAAACACAGATGGTCCTTTGTTTTAACACTATGAAATCTGATGTTACACGGATTATTAATAATCGTTTTATTTTCATTAGGTAATCCCTGCATGGAATATTTCTCCAATTAAGAAGGCTAATGAGATCAAGGTTAGCAACTGAAAGGTGAATCTGTGCTGTTTCCTCTGTCTGCAGAGTCTGTTGCAAGCAGATTTGCGTCCCTATGCAAAAACCTTCAGTGAATATACTCATCTGATTCACTTTGGGCTCACATCTTGGCCTTATGTTTCTCTCTGACTGTCCCTTCTCTGACCTGTAGCTTGTTTTCCTCTTCAGTGTTTTATGATGTGTATTGTGGTACTGCCCAGAGACCCCACTGAGGGCTGGGCACTGCCTACCCCAAAGAGTTGACAGTCTAATTTTAGTTATGGTGCAACAAGTGAATGTATCAGTGCTAGAAGCATGTGGTTTCATAGACTAGGTATGTGCAATATGAGATGCTGTGAGCTCATTCAGTGGCTTTTTAATATTGTAAATTGGGCCTGTCCTTGCACCTCTGAATCCACCCATTCCACAAGCCTTACTTGGATTCAGTTCCCCATCCTCCTTATTTTGGCTCCTTCTCTGAGCTTCTCCACACATGTCCTGAGGTATGGACATTTGAAACCGTAAAACTTTTAGCTTAAACCTGTAAAGTTCTTATTTCCCTTGGTCTCACTGCAGCCTCCTCAGTTTGTGGACATTCCCCTTGAAGAAGATGATTCATCTGATGAGGAATACCAGCCTGAGGATGAGGATGAGGATGAGACTGCTGAAGAGGTAAATATGGCTGAACACCTCTGATTATATCCACAAAGGGATTTAAGTGCCAAACAACCACTTTAGGCACCCAAATCCAAAATATAGATATTCAAAATCTCCGCTCAGCTGCTCTCTAATTGTGTAGGTGTCTGAGTTGCTGCTGATAAAGTCCCTAGGTACCTAAAAATCTGCCTGCGGGCATGCACACAGCCACTTAAGTCCTGATGCCTAGCTCATACCTAGGTCCTAGCAGAATCTTCAAACTGGGTGTTCCTCCACCTATGGTGCCTACAGGGTCCAATCTGGTATGTGTTCTCAGAGGCTGCCTTAAAGCACACCTCCTGGATTAGGTCCTGCACAAAACTGAGTTGAAGGTTGTTTCTCTCCTACTCTTCTCTCCTACTCTTCTCTCCCCCCTCCCCTCCCCCGGCCCTTTTAATCCAATAGCTCAGTGGTTAGAGCCCTCATCCAGGATGTGGGAGACCTCAGTTCAAATCCCCATTCTGCCTGAGAGGATCTGCAACTTGAACCCAGCTTTTTCATGTCTTGAGTGAGTGCCCTAATCACTTGGGCATCAG